AACCTCAAACAAAAGCTTTTTAGGGAATTCCTTCCATCCTCTGTAGACAAGACAGTTATTATTACACACTCTAATGGTATTATGCTCGCTCCTTATAATATCCAACAAACTCTCATTCAATTTATAGATACTTATTACTATTAGACTGTACATTCTACAATGGTAAGGCCAGAATGTGTCTTATTTGCTACTATATTCTTACTTTCCAATGCAATGCTTAGAACATAGTACATACTACATGTGTAGAAAACACACAAATATATGAACAAATAAAAGAGCTAATATAAAGAAATATTGCATTGAAGTTTCCAAGAACATAATGGAATGCAAATTCTAAGTGACAAATGTCAACAAAATCAAGAAATAGATTGAATCCCAGATTCACAGTCTAAGAAAGTATCATTATGTTTAGTTTTTAAATAATTACAGCAAAATTCTATTTCATAGTGCTGGCTTTGAAACTTCCCCTGGATCTTCAATATAAAAAAAAGATAAAGTGATAGGGAAGGAGAAAATAAAATTTAAAGTGATGTAGACTGCCATCATTTAAACTATCGTATGTTCTACGGTTTGGCTCTTCTCTGTGAAATCCCATGTTGAAACTGACCTCCAATTTATCAGTGTTTAGAGGTAGGACCTACTGGGAAGTCTTTGGGTCATGGGAATGCCTTCATATTGTTAGGGTGATATGGGATGGTGAAGGTTAGCTTCAGCAGGAATGAGTTTGTTCCTAAGACAACAAGTCGTTTAAAAACAGTCTGTCTTCCTGGTTTCTCCCTCTTGCTTTTTCTCTCTGTCTTTGGACCTGCCTGCTCCTCCACTTCCTGGAATAAATGAACTCAGCCTGAGTCCCTCACCAAGTCCACCTGCCCAATCTTAGACTTTCAGTAGCCAGAATTGTGGGCATTTACTCCTTTGTTTTACAAAATACCTAACCTCAGGAATTCTGTTACAGAAACACAAAGTGTAATAAACCAATGTATATAGCAAACTACAAAGTAAAAGGCAGAATAAATTACTTACGGAGTGGATAGTGCAAAACCTATTTACATGTGAAAGAATAATCCAGGAGATAGAGAAGGCAGAATTGTACAGTAAAATGTACCCATATCTCAGAAAAGAGAGAGAGAGTTTAAAAGTAATAAAATAATTTGCAGCATAGATTGCAGAATAAAGGTGGACTGAAATACAAACACATATTCAAAATAAGAGAAAGTGAATAAAATTGTGGAGCATATTCATAAAATAAATATGGACTGAAATGTGAAGACATTATAAAATCTGTAATATTTTCAATCCCATGAAATTAGGGTTGATTTCTCAGAGATAATCAGTCATGTGAAGCCTTTCATTGAATCTGTAAAGCTAAGAGCTAGACCTCCCTAACCTATGGGAGCTTATTTAAAGACACTTGACAGGCATCAGTGAACAAAGGGAAAGTTGAGTCCTGAGTGGGTGCACACCTGGATGATTGGGAGAAATGTTGAAGCCAGAACACACGGGTTCAGTTCTTTACAATTCATATGCCCAGTGTCCTCACACAGCCTCATTAAGTCTCTCATTTTTCTGTGGCTCCACTATAAACTGGCTGGGGTGTCTGTCTCACATACACTAAGGGTGGCTGAGAACCACCATGGCTCTCCAAACTAAGACTAGGAGCCACAGCAAGGTTTAGGAGTCTAGTGGAGCAGCATGTGGTGTCATTTGAGGTGTTCTGGGATCTGAAAAGTAGCATTGTGTCACAACTCTACAAATTGAGGACAATATACAGGAAGGTCCAAATGGCTAAAGCCCAAGTCCTAGATTATAAATCCCTTAGCTGAGACCTTCAGCCACTGTCTGCTTTCTTTTGAGGCAGGTTGGAGAGCTCTAGACAGTGATCCTTGAGATCTGTGTCTGTTGTATGTCATGATCATGGCATCTTAGAACCCTGAGTGTGAGAACCAGATGAAACCTCCATCCCAGGTGATATGCAAATGTGTCCTCTTTCTAATCAGTCTTCTAATGCAAATGTTAGAAGTTTTAAAGAACTTTTAAAAGGGTTTTGCTGGCACGTTCACCCATTGCTATCTTAAATTTGGGTTCTCTCTCAATGATTTGCTCTTTTTTTCCCCTTGCCTCCTCATAAGTTTCTATTCTTTCCCTTATTCCCATTTCTTTTGGCTGAACTACCCTTACAGTTTATCTGTCATGTAACTGTTGTTTTGTTTAAGTAAATTTTAACCCTTTTGCAAGGTACTGATCCAATTATTATATACAGGTACAGGATGTGTGTGTGTGTGTGTATGTATGTGTGTATACACAATTACTTTATATATACCAACACCATATTATATAAAAAATGCATAACACACCTATACAGTCCACACCCACACACGCTGCTTTGAGAAAGGCACTTTGTTCTGGGAATGAGGCTTTATAAGCAGTGAGTTTGAAAATCAAGCCCAGGCAGTTGAACTTCAAGACGTTGCTCTTAACCATGATACCATGTTACTCTTGGCCCTTTTTCCACCTTGGGTACTGATACACAGTAGAAACTCCATGCCAATTCCAGGAGATGTAAGCACTGCACTCAAGAATCATTTTGAAATGTGTAGGAAATGTTGCCTGTTCCTTCCTTATCTGGATCCCTTCTTCACTGTGACTTTGCTTTTCCTCACCTGGGATTAGTTTTCTGACACATGCGTGGGTACATCCTATTAAGGTAAGAGAGTTTTACTTTGTGTCAGACACCGATAAAACCTCTCTTTCTCCATACACACCTGAACTTGACTGTCCTCTTTCTCTTTTCCTATTATTTAACCCCAAATACCTTTTACCTTTTTAGATTTCACAAGGATGTGACTGAGCAGTTTCAAGGGCATCCACTTTTGCTTCCTCCTCCTGCCTTTGAATCCTGCATCTGCATTGCTGGATGTCAGGCAAATTAGACAACCCCTGTTTCCCATTCCAGGATATTTTGATGACCAACTTTTCTTATGTTGTGAATTTGAAGGGCAAGGGCAGATAATGAGAAAGTGGATAGTCAGGGACCTGTGTTCTGAGAACTGGGCCAGAGGACTGACAGAGAGGGAGAATAATTTCAGTGATTCTGGCGGGCATCATGGATCAGTAAGGGCCAGAGGAGTAGAACATAGGGGCACAGAGTGAGAGGCCTGTGACAAGACCCAGCCTGTCTCCTTCACAGCAGAATGTTAATAGACATTAGATTTTAGTAAGCAGAGAACATATCTCTGAGTCAGCATCAAAAAGTTCTACAGTCCAGAAGAAGGAATAGTCACAGGACCTAACCTCACCTTCCCTTTTGAGTATGGGAGCCACAGGGCAGTGAGAATGGAACAGCTTGTATCTGAGGTTAAAGCCAATGTTTCTCTCTCTTTAGTCCACACTTACAGTAAGATCCAGTGGATGACTCGGCTACAGGTTTTTGAACTTCTGGCTTTTGAGGGAAAGACTTTCTCACCCTCTATGCTGAAGGTATTCTATGTATTATGAACTCCAGTCAGTGGCTCTTATCATCAAGAAATCTTGAAAAGTGCAAGGCATTCAGAAGGCCTAATGAATAGTTTCCAGCCACTTAGAGACATCAGAGGGGTTTCCTGCCAAGGGTGCACTGACCTTTTTCATCCTACTGTCTTAACAGTACTGGGTCTGTCTCTGTTCACCTCGAAGGAGATGGGTCATCCTTCCCTTCCTCTACTCCAGTATCCTGTGCATCTTCCTCAATGGTTTTGTCATGTCGTGTTCATAATGATTGTCCAGTTGAACCACATCTTGAAAAAAAATTCCAAAAGTATATTTACCTGGTCCCAATTGTCAATTGCCCTTTTACAGGAATCTGGAGCAGGAATGGTGTTTCTGTAAGGGGCTCGTTGGATCTCATGTTTTATAGAACCCCCAATCTCTGGATGTAGATCCTCAATGTCTACTTCTTAAATATATATTCATCCCACATTCTCCTCCTATGATGTAACTTCAAGACTGCTACTGTTGAGTGTTCTAGTCCCTTTACTTTGTGTAATGTTGTGACTATAGCTGATGTTTTACTCTGAAGCATAATAGTACTTCTTCTGACTCTACAGAAATCTTCACTGTGGAAAGTTAACTACCATGCTGTGAGCAAGCCCAAGCAGCTACCTGGAGAGGCTATTTTAATATACTCGAGGTAACACCCCCAACTGAGGAAGCCCAGACATCAGTCAGGATCATCTGTTAAACTGGAAGTAGAACGTCTGTTGCCATTATTTAATTAGTGATCATGAAAATGACCATTTGGTGGGTAGACACACTCAATTGACTCACTGTAATCTGGGTTTTCATCAGAACTGGGTTTTGCTTGTTTTGTCTTTTTTTTTTCTGATACTAATATGTTCCCACTGTAACATGAGGTGATGATTATGTCTCAGGTCTAGGTCATCAGTGAGAATTCATAATCTGTGTGAACCGGAAGCATAAACACATTTTAAAGCAGACAATCTGCTCATTTATCTATTTTTCCCTAGGTGATGCTGTTTGCTTAATTAACCAGCTACAGAAATCAATGTGGGTTAAACCTTTTGGGTTGTTGCTCGGGCATTGCTAGCAAGTTCTCGAAGAAGCAATAGGCTGCACCATTTGGCCCATTCTGCAGATGGCTATTCTACCTAGGTTTTTGTAAGTTCACTCTGATGTTCACACTGTGATAAAAATCACTTAATAATGCATTTCTCAGAATGTATTTTTGTCACCATAGGATGCACAACTGTTAAATCCCTATTTTTTTTCCCAAAGATTCAGTGAACATTTAGGTGTAAAATAAATTTTCCCCCTAAAGTGATGAGGTATAGAATTTACTGTTTCAATAGGAGGAAGCTCCCACACTTGCAAATGTGTTGTACAAAATCCTGTCTGTCCATGACATGCAAATTCTGTTCCTGCATGAGATCATTCACTTGGAATCACGCACCCTCATATTTCCAGAATTCCATCAAAAAATTCACAAAGCAGTTGAAAATCACAATATACATTTTAAGTAATGGACCATAAGAGATTATTTTAATTGTTAGAAAGTGTATACAAATATTTTTCATTTTACGTATTTTTCTGTTTAACCATAACAAAGTGAGGTGACACTAAAATAGAAAGAAAGCCTGAACAGTGTGATTCCTCTGCTTCAACAGTGAAGGGCTCCCTTGTACATACAGTTCTCAAACAGTCAGCTGTCTTCATCCTGATCATCTATGGCCAGTGTAAAAGAAAGGCCTGACAGGGAAACTTAAGGAGCCAGCCAGGTAACGCCATATGAAGGAATTCTTGGTGATATTCAAAAAACTCACACTTCCGCTTTGAAAATACAGAAACACACCAACCCGGCCCAGAGGTTTCTCTACATAGTGAGGAGGCATTGGAGAGCTGGTCAAGACACAGAAATGATGATCCACCTTCACACGTAAAAGAAGAAATATGTCCTCAGATGTAATCATGGTGCCATTCTTCCTTATCGGGGAGTCCTTACAGACGCCCAGAGCCCAGTCCCCAGAGTCATCCACAACCAGCTCCCAGTAGTGTTTCCCAGAGGAAAAGCCCCAGTCTCCCCATGCAGCAAAATAGGTCTGTCAGAATTCAAAGCTCCACCTTCCTGATCAGGTCTGAACATCCAACTTCTCACATCCTCAAACAGGCTGATAGTGTGCTTGCTTACTTCATAATTGAAGGTAGTTTCCACTGTAGAAAAAAGAGAATGTTCCAGTGAAAAGCAGTTTATACATTCTTATGTTCAGATAAGAAAGAAGAGACTCTCACGAGGGACTGATCCAAGATGGCCGATCGCTAAAACATCTTGGGACTTCAGCTCTCAGTGAAGGCATGGAGAACTAGATGATGCCACACCACTTCAGACAAATTCTGGTTGTTCACGGAGCAGAAGATCCCAAGTGGAGGAATCACACGGGTCACCAGCACGACTTTCGTGGCTGGTGCAGCAGTTCCGCTGGCGCCTTGGCGCAGCAGCTCTTGGAGCAGAGTAAACAGGTTCGGAGGACCCACAAGGGCCCCCAGCATGACACCAGAGCCCAGTGCAGCAGCTGTGATGGCACCTCAGCGTGGCAGCGCTCGATGCAGAGTAAACAGGACCGGCTCCCCTTCTGACTGAGGTTTGGAGCCCGGGGAAGGCAGAGTCGCCTACTACGGACACAAGAAGGAAGCCAGACAAGAGAATCCTGGGCAGAAAAGCACGATCAGTTTTAATGCCGCTGCTCTGGTCCTGGGAACTAACAACCTGGACGCCCACTCAAGAGACCTAATCTGAAAGTTGGTAAATTCAAAGACCACAGGAGGATAAACTTACAATGATGGGAAGAAACCAGCGTAAAAAAGCTGAGAATACTCAAAGTCGGAACGCCTCTCCCTCTAAAGATGATCACAGTTCCACATCAGCAATGGGACAAGGCTTGATGGAGAACGAGCGCATCCCAATGCTAGAATATCGCTTCAGGGAATAGATAATAACAAACTTCGGTGAGTTAAAAGAACATGTTGTAGCCCAACATAAACAAACTAGGAACTTTGAAAAAAAGTTTGATGAAATCCTATTGAGAATAGACAACTTAGAGAGGAGTATGAGTGAATTAATGGAAAAGAAGAATACAATACAGGAACGCCGAGAAGTTTGCACAGGTTTAAACACTTGAATTTGAAGCAGAAGAAGGGATATCAGAGGTCAAAGTCCAACTTAATGAAATAAAACGCGAAGAAAAGATGAGAGAAAAAAGGATAAAAAGGAATGAGCAAAGTCTCCAAGAACTATGTGAAAAGACCAAATCTACGTTTGATAGGCGTACCTGAATGCGACGGAGAGAATGAATCCAAGATGGAAAATACCCTTCAGGAAATTATTCAGGAAAATTTTCCTAAACTAGCAAAGCAGGTCAATATTCAACCCCAGGTAATAGAGAGAACACCACAAAGATATTCCTCAAGAAGAGCAACCCCAAGGCACATAATCATTAGATTCACTAGGGCTGAAATGAAGGAGAAAATACTAAGGGCAGCCAGAGAGAAAGGTCAGGTTACCCACAAAGGCAAGTCAATCAGACTTACAGCAGATCTCTCAGCAGAAACTCTACAAGCCAGAAGAGAGTGGGGGCCAATATTCAACATCCTCAAAGAACAGAACCTTCAGCCCAGAATTTCATATCCAGCCAAACTAAGCTTCACAACTGAAGAAAAAATAAAATCTTTTATGAACAAGCAAGAACTCAGAGATTTTATTACCACCAGGCCTGCTTTACAAGAGCTTCTGAAAGAAGCATTACACACATAAAGAAACAACCAGTATCAGCCCTTCTAAAAATATACCAAAAAGTAAAGAGCACCAACATAAAGAATTTACACTAACGAATGGATAAAACAGCCAGTTAACATCAAAGGGCAGTAAGCCTAAATTTAAATCGACTAAATCCCCCAATCAAAAGACACAGCCAAAACCCAACGGCATGTTATATCCAGACCTGTTTCACACTCAAGGATACACAAAGACTCAAAACAAAGGAATGGAGAAAGATTTACCAACCAAATGGAGAGCAAAAATAAATAAATAAATAGGAGTTGCAATTCTTGTATCGGATAAAATAGATTTTAAAGCAGCAAGGATATAGTGGTAAAAGGATCAATGCAACAATAAGAGCTAATGATACTAACACACAGATACATAGAGACTTAGATACAATGAGGCAGAAAATTAATAAGGATATCAAGGACTCGAACTCAGATCTGGAACAAGTAAACTTAATAAATATTTATAGAGCTCTCCACTTCAAATACACAAAATAAACATTCTAGTCAATACCACATCACACGTACTCATAGGTTTAAATGAAACACTGATTGGCCATTAAAGAAGTTCTTCGAAACCAATGAGAACGAAGACAAAACATGCCAGAATCTCTAGGACACATTTAAGGCAGTCTCTAGAGGAAAATATAGAGCAATAAGTGCCCTATGAGGAGAATGGAGAGATCCAAAATTGACACCCTATCGTCAAAATTGAAAGAGCTAGAGGAGCAAGATCAAAAAAACTCAAAACCTAGCAGAAGACAAGAAATAACTAAGATCAGAGCAGAACAGAAGGAGATAGAGACACGAAAAACCCTTCAAAAAAATCAATAAATCCAAGAGGTGGTTTTTGTCTATAACAAAATAGACAAACCACTAGCCAGATTGATAAAAAAGAAAAGAGAGAACAACCAAATAGATGCAATAAAAAAGGTAAAGGGGAAATCACCACAGATTCCATAGAAATTCAAACCATCATCAGAGAATATTACAAACAACTCTATGCACATAAACTAGTAAACCTGGAAGAAATGGATAAATTCCTGGACTCCTGTGTCCTCCCAAGCCTAAACCAGGAGGAAGCTGAAACTATGAATAGACCAATAACAAGGGCAGAAGTTGAGGCAGCAATTAAGAGCCTACCACACAAAAAAAACCCCGGTCCAGATGGGTTCATAGCCAAATTCTACCAGACACACAAAGAGGAGCTGGTACCATTCCTACTGAAACTATTCCAAATAATCCAAAAACAGGGAATCCTTCCCAAATCATTTTATGAGACCAACATCATTCTGATATCAAAACCCGGCAGAGACCCAATAAGAAAAGAAAACTTCAGGCCAATATCCATGATGAACATAGATGCAAAAATCTTCAATAAAATATTGGCAAGCCGATTGCAACAGCACATCAAAAAGCTTATCCATCATGATCAAGTAGGATTCATCCCGGGGATGCAAGGCTGGTTCAACATACGCAAGTCTATCAACGTAATTCACCACATAAACAGAACCAAAACCAAAAACCACATGATTATCTCAATTGATGCAGAGAAGGCATTCGACAAAATTCAACAGTGCTTTATGCTAAAAACCCTCAATAAACTTGGTATTGATGGAACATACCTCAAAGTAATAAAAGCTATTTACAACAGACCAACAGCCAATATCATACTTAATGGGCAAAAACTGGAAGCATTCCCTTTGAAATCCGGCACTAGACAAGGATGCCCTATTTCACCACTCCTACTCAATATAGTACTGGAAGTTCCAGCCACAGCAATCAGGCAAGAAAAAGAAATAAAGGGTATTCAAATACGAAAGGTGGAAGCCAAATTGTCTCTATTTGCAGACGACATTATAGTATACCTAGAAGACCCCATCGCCTCAGCCCAAAAACTCCTGAAACTGATAAGCGACTTCAGCAAAGTCTCAGGATATAAAATCAATGTGCAAAAATCACAAGCATTCGTCTACACCAATAACAAACTTAAAGAAAGCCAAATCAAGAATGAACTGCCATTCACAATTGCTACAAACAGAATAAAATACCTAGGAATACAACTTACAAGGAACGCAAGGGACCTCTTCAAGGAAAACTACAAAACAGTGCTCAATGAAATCAGAGAGGACACAAACAGATGGAGAAACATTCCATGTTCATGGTTAAGAAGAATTAATATCGTGAAAATGGCTATACTGCCCAAAGTAATTTACAGAATCAATGCTACACCCATCAAGCTACCATTGACTTTCTTCACAGAACTGGAAAAAACCACCATGAACTTCATATGGAACCAAAAGAGAGCTCGCATAGCCAAGTCAATTCTAAGCAAAAAGAACACAGCGGGGGGTATCACACTACTGGATTTCAAACTATACTACAAGGCTACAGTAATCAAAACAGCATGGTACTGGTATCAAAACAGAGATATAGACCAATGGAACAGAACAGAGGCATCAGAGGCAACACAACATATCTACAACCATACAATCTTTGATAAACCTGACAAAAACAAGCAATGGGGAAACGATTCCCTGCTTAACAAATGGTGTTGGGAAAACTGACTAGCCATGTGCAGAAAGCAGAAACTGGACCCCTTCCTGATACCTTACACTAAAATTAACTCCAGATGGATTAAAGACTTAAACATAAGACCTGGCACCATAAAAACCCTAGAAGAAAATCTAGGCAAAACCATCCAGGACATAGGAGTAGGCAAGGACTTCATGAACAAAACACCAAAAGCATTGGCAACAAAAGCCAAAATAGACAAATGGGACCTAATGAAACTCCACAGCTTCTGCACGGCAAAAGAAACAGTCACTAGAGTGAATCGGCAACCAACAGAATGGGAAAAAATTTTTGCAGTTTACCCATCTGACAAAGGGCTGATATCCAGAATTTACAAAGAACTCAAACAGATTTACAGGAAAAAAACAAACAAGCCCATTCAAAAGTGGGCAAAGGATATGAACAGACACTTTACGAAAGAAGACATATATGAGGCCAACAATCACATGAAAAAATGCTCATCATCACTGGTCATCAGAGAGATGCAAATCAAAACCACATTGAGATACCATCTCACGCCAGTTAGAATAGCGATCATTAAAAAATCTGGAGACAACAGATGCTGGAGAGGATGTGGAGAAAAAGGAACACTTTTACACTGTTGGTGGGAGTGTAAATTAGTTCAACCATTGTGGAAGACAGTGTGGCGATTCCTCAAGGCCTTAGAAATAGAAATTCCATTTGACCCAGCAATCCCATTAATGTGTATATATCCAAAGGACTATAAATCGTTGTAGTATAAGGACACATGCACACGAATGTTCATTGCAGCACTGTTTACAATAGCAAAGACCTGGAACCAACCCAAATGCCCATCGATGATAGACTGGATTGGGAAAATGTGGCACATATACACCATGGAATATTATGCAGCAATCAGAAATGATGAGTTTGTGTTGTTTGTAGCTACATGGATGAATCTGCAGAACATCATTCTCAGCAAACTGACACAAGAACAGAAAATGAAATACTGCATATTCTCACTCATAGGTGGGTGATGAAAAATAAGGACACATGGACACAGGGTGGGGAATACTAAACACTGGGGTCTATTGGGGGGAAAAGGGGAGGGCCAGTAAGGGGGGGGAGCTGGGGAGGGATAGCCTGGGGAGAAATGCCAAATGTGGGTGAAGGGGAGAAAGGAAGCAAAACACACTGCCATGTGTGTACCTATGCAACTGTCTTGCACGTTCTGCACATGTACCCCAAAACCTAAAATGCAATAAAAAATTTTTAAAAAAAGAAAGAGACTCTCACTAGAAAACACAGGTCAAGATTAAAAGGCAACTTTTGTCTGGAAAAATGTTGGGATCAGAGGGTGTTAGGAAATCTACACAAGTAAATAGCTAAACTGCAATGACCACAGTTTCTATAAATTCAAAAATGTGAAGGGGAGGATTGTCATGCCTACGTCTAGTTAGCTACTTTTTATTACAACTGAAAAACTGGAAGCTCTTGGACTGCAGCCACGTCCATAGAAATAAAATGTATGTCCATTGCCTCTTCTCTGGCAGGGCAGAGCAGGAGGCTGGGGACAGGAGATGAGGTGGGGAGCCATTCTTATACCTAAATAAGTTATCACTTTGCCAGAATATAATCTGCCACTTAAGCTAGCAAATTCATATTTAATGAAACTCTGAATCTGCCTTCTGAAAAGTGCAGATTCCTTGCAAGAATTATCTGACTTTCATGCCAGATTTCAGCACAGACTTCTTTTATCTGCCTGATTGATCATGATCTATCCTGGAGTTCTAAGGACTCATCAACCGCCAAATCACTTTCCTTTGTTCACAGATCCTCAGATTTGCATTGTTATTTAAGTTACTCATGTACATTTTGGTTGATTAAAATGCACGATTAAAATTACAAATGCTATGAAACTTCACCTGAAATGTACTTAAAAATAAACACTGTCACCCAAATCACAATCATTAACGACACTTAATTTGAAATTGAAATGTCCTGAATTAACTCAGTTCTGTTTACCTCATGTAATACTTGTATACATGAAATTGTGTCAGAGAATGTTTCTAAGTCCTAAGGAGCCATTCTGCATGTTTTATTTTTTTCTAAGAAATTTGTTCTATGGCTGATCCTTATTACATTTCACCAGCTTTTATTATTGGTCTGATGATAGTGAAACTATAAATATAAAGACCTATTCACAGACTATTTTCTTCCAGGTGAAAGATCATTACACTAGGAAAACTGCTCATAGAAACCATACTTGAAGACATTACATGTTGGTCCCAGCAAGAGGATGACACTCACCTCGGAAGCGGTTGAGAATGTGCACCAGTCCAGTGATGGGCCCTGCAATGAGCGCTGGATTCACAGGCTGGGGCATGCGCAGCAGCACAGGCTCGCTTCTGCAAGGAAGCAGGTGCAGTTGGTTAACCTTTCTGGTGTCTGTGTTTAAGAAATAGTTTCCAAAAGGAAATGCTTCATGCAAACCCACTTCTGATATTGTAATGTAACTCCACAATCCTAGGATAGGTTCCTGGCTCTCTTAGGGAATCTTTCTAAGGATTCACTCCATTTCTAACCTACTTCCACTGAAAGATAATTACCTCTCTCCCTATCTGCCACCAAATAGTTCATTTGTCTCTAATTATGATTCTGTATCCTAAAATTAGGCACCTATACCTAGCAACTTCTGCATTGAACTCTTCAAAACATTACCCCCGAGTCACTTTGGAAAGTAACAAAAGTAATATCTGATAGAGGACATAAGAAAACATACTTGGAGGAGGAAAGGAAGAGAGGGCTAGGAGGGGAGCAAGGCGAGGAGGCTGAGGCGGGCGCAGCGGGCACCTGGGCCTGGCCGCCCCGACGAGCAAGGCGCAGCCATTCAGCTGCTTGGGGCGCTGCCGCGGCCGCCGCCGCCGCACCCTGGGGCCATGCTCCCGCCGCCCCCGCCCCAGGGGATTGTGGCCCGCGGCGTGGTGCGCCTGCAGCGACCCTTCCTGCGCAGTCCGCTGGGCGTGCTGCGGGTGCTGCAGCTGCTGGCCGGCGCCGCCTCTTTATCACTATCGCTTCAAGGAAGTACCAGGACCCCGTGCACTTCGCGCTCTTAGTGTCCGTGCTCTTCTGGATGCTCACGCTGGGCCTCTACTTCCTCGTGCTGCTGGGCAAGCACGAGCTGGTCCCCGTGCTGGGCTCGCGCTGGCTCCTGGTCAACGTGGCGCACGACGCTCTTCGGCGCCACAACCAGCATCTTGAGCGACCAGATGCAGCGCCACAGCGACTGCGACCTCAAGGATTCCCCGCTGCCCTGCGCCTACCACGCCTTCTTGGCGGCCGCCGTCTGCGGCGAGTCTGCCACGGCTTCTATCTGCTCTCGGCTTTCTATGGCTGCGGCCCTCGCTCAAGGGTCAGCAGGAGGCGGTGTGAGGCCGCCCGCGCCCGCCGCGGCCCGGATCGGGGAGGAGGAACCCCGGGAGACCAGCGCCCCCGGTTCCTGCCGCCGCCCCGCGCGGGTGCGTCCTGGCACCCTCCCCCTACCCGCCAGCGTTTCCACTGTCGCCCGCTCCCAGGAACCCTGACGCGCAGCTCACGCCCCACTGCATCGTCGCCGTCGCCACCGCCCGGAATCCCGAACGCCACGCCGGACACGCAGTTTCCAGGCACCAGCGCAGGGCTGCGATCCAAGGGGCGGACACACCCTAGCAGACTAGCCGCCCGACGCCAAACCTCGCAGTTCCAATTCCCTTCCCTGCTGAGACTAAGACGTGGACAGGCGCCGCGTAGATCCGGGGAAGGCTCTCAAATTGGAGCCAGGCTTCTGGCTGCCCCCTTCCCTCCCACCCCGTGGTCAGAAGCGCACCCACTTCCCTGGCCCCTCATCCAGCCTCCCGTGCTGTAAAACGCAGGAGCTGGGCTGTGGGCGGAGCTGAGGACAGGCCTTGGCTGATCCGGGGATGACCGACGAGTTTGTTTTTAGCTTGGGATTGTGCGAGCGTCCTGCGAAGCCCCTTCCAGCCTGTCTCTCGGTGGCGGGATGTGGGGGCGGGGCCCATCCCCCAAGGTGGGGACGGATAAGAGGAGCCGGTGGGCTGCACCCTTACTCTTGGGAAGTCTCCTCTTGCCTCTGCCTACTCCGCGTTTGTCCTTCAAGTTTTTTGCAGCCAGTCCCAAACACCTGCTAACTGTCCTGGCCTCTCCGTGACACAAGTATCTTCCCAGCCTTCCTTACCTGCTTGCTGCCCCTCTCATCTCTCCCCATATCTGTTTGCATTAGGAGTCCCACAACCATGGTGGAATATTAAGGTGAATCCCACCCCTTTTTACAGATGGGGACCCAGAGCCTGCTCTTGGGAACAGCCAGAGTAAGATTAGAATCCGGACTCGCAGCCCAGCGCTGTTTGCATTAAAAGGGTGGGTGAATCAGGACCCCTGGCTCAGGAGCCGCCTCTCGAAAAGAGGATTTCAAGGCCAAGTTGGTTTGTCAACGGTGCTGACTCCCCTTCTTGGAGATGCTCATTAGCTTTTCAAAGACTCTGAGAAGTTTCGCTGTTACAGAATTAATTTAGTTTACTGTATTAGCTGCTCCTGGCCTGGAGCAGTATTCCTGCCTGGAGGTTCCCAGCAGCCCTGTGCTGGCTGGGTTCTCATTCATGCCTAAGGGCTCAACCCATTGGTTGTGTTCTGTTTGAACATTTGGGGAGCTCCTTCTCTTTCTCTTCTCCAGGGAATTTCTCTAGCAGAGGAGGGGACCCACCCCAGTGAGGAAGGAGATTGCTGCCCCTAGCCAGAGACCTGAACTGGGGAATATGAACATTCCTTGACGTTGTTGGAGAAATGAAGCCAAAGTTATTCGGATGGTTTTCCCAGTCTAAAGGAAAGTCACCTGCAAGAGATCCTGGCGCTGACCTGCAGTAGCTGGCAGGGTGGGTCTCGCTTACCAAAGAGAAGAACCACTCTCTGGCGCTGGGGTGACCTGCTGGCTGGGCCTGTAAGGCTTCCATGTTGCTGGGGCCACAGAGAATACCAGAGCTGGTCACACCGACCGTTCCCAGGGCCCGCCACTGTGGGCTGGCAACACCATTCTGGCCTGGGCCTGCAGAAGCTTTCAGAGTCTTCACTGGCAGTAGCAGGAGGTGGGGAGAGAAATGACCTCTGCCTAGTAGTTTCCTTTCCACATCATGCAATGGAAGATCCCAGATGGGTGAAGATTGATTTTGCCTTAACTCAAGAGAATTCCTGTTCTCCTTGTGCTATGGTCTGGACACCTGGAACTTAGCTGTATACTTCTGTACCCTAAACAATGGGTTTGACTTCCAGCCTTTATTCTTTTTTTCCTTATTCAGATCACCATCTAAGTTACAACTTTAGCTCAGGTCCAGCCTTCTCAAGATCTCCGTCTTAGCCCCCCAGCCCCTGGTGCTGTCTGTGGTCAGGTGACCTTACTCAGGCGCAGATATCTCCTTGGCCGCCATGGAGCTGCAGTTATCCACACATGCCTGTAGCATTCCAGAGCTCACTGCTCTTAGATGTGCCTTCCCACTGGGCTTCCAGCAGCTCTGTGCTCCCTTTGTCTGCCAGGTATGAGAAGGACGTGTAAGACCACCACCACACTCACCCTCCCTCAAGGCCCTGTGCCATAGGGGTGGCCAGCTGACCTGCACCCAGAACTTTTGGATAGTGGAGGCAGTCACATAAGCCTCCCTCTTTGGATGCCAGGACTCAGTCCAGCCCAAGACCACTCTGGGCAGCTCCCATCCTGGTCTGGGGCCATTTGCAGACTCAGGAACAGGATTTCTGCAGTGTTCTATAGAAGCCAAAAGAGAGAGTGGGTTTGGGAAGAATGAGGGTGGCTGGGGAGTGGGGACCAATGTTTCTCATTATTTAGTGCTGATTCCTTGTATGCTTTTCTGAATAAAGTTTGGTTGTCTGCTTAAAAAAAAAAAAAGAAAACATATTCAACATAACACACAAACACATGAGTACACACACATACACACAATCACACTGGTACATTATGTTGTTAACAAATTATGTTTTCACTTTGTTGGAAACTGCTTGATGTTTTTCATAGCATGCCTTGTGCTTTAGCTTGCAATGATGGGAAAAAAAACATACCTTGCCACGATGTCTCCCAAATCCTGTAAAGAGAGAAAAAGAAAGACTTCTTTAGAAGGTTGTTATTCTGGCTGGGTATAGTGGCTCACACTTGTATTTCCAGCACTTTGGGAGGCCAAAGTGGATGGATCATCGGAGATCAGGAGTTCCGGACTAGCTTGGCCAACATGGCGAAACCCCATCTCTACTAAAAATACAAAAAAATTAGCCAAGTGTCATGGGGCACACCTGTAGTCCCAGCTACTGGGGAGGCTGTGGCAGGAGAATCGCTTGAACCCAACAAGTAGAGGTTTCAGTGAGTTGAGATTGAGCCACTGCACTTCAGCCTGGGTGACAGAACAACACTCTGTCTCAAAACAAACAAACAAATGAACAAACAAGTTGTTATTCTGCCTGTCTAGTCTTTAGGTTTTGAAAACTTTGGAAGTACCACATACTATCACTGAAGCTCTTTTAAAATGTATTCTGATCTCTAACATTTATGCCAGTAAGACCAATTGACAAGAATCTATTTCTGATTACTTCAGGATCCCGGATTTGAGTGAGAGAGAAAGGTTGAGTAGTGACTGCGCATTGCCGCAGCTGTCTACAATGTGGTCTTTTTCAGGGCTAGTCCCTGAGGGGTAATGTGGCTCAAATCCAGGGCATTTCAAACCTAGGACTTCCCAAAAGGAAGAAGGAAACGTTAGTTTCTCCATAATTTTTATGTATTATTCAATGGAGACAAAAATATAATTTTCACATAAAATTTTTTCTTCCAGGGTTTTAGTGAAATGAACTGGAGAAGAAAGCTTGAGGTAGAAAATGTTCTATGGAACTATGGCACAGTTCCATAAGGCTTTGTTTCCATGATTAGGTTAGGAGTTGTAGTTTATCTCTGTAACCAGGGAGTGTCTCAAGGATAAATATTTTTTAGAGCTGTCTCTTTCAGTTCAGCAAAATGGACCAAAAAATAATATGATATAACCATTCATCTAAAGACAGTATCTTGTTATTAATTAGTAGTAACATCCTATGTGATTCATGCATTTAATAATATAGTTGTATTTTCATCCTATGTGTTCATGCATTTATTTTAATAATATAGTTGTACCTATACATAAAAACATGAATTTTCCATATTGTCAGAAACTCATTATTGTAATTCTTAATAATTGCTGATGTGTGGCTATCATCCCTTGTTTTGGCTGAATTATGGTTTAGTTATTTACTTTTAATACATCTGATTTATATGTATTCTCTTTTTTTTTATTCTTGTAGCTGCAAAGCCCTGATGAAAAGTTTGAAG